CACATCTGAGCCTCAACTCTCGCGGCCCGGTACCAAACGACTCAAGGACCGGTACCGGTCCGAGGCCCGGGGGTTGGGGACCGCTGAATTAAAGGATCAGATACATCCAGAAACAAAATAATTCAGGTTCTCCTTTGTAAGATATGAAAGAATGCTTCTGTTGTGTGCACCACCAAGTACAATACAGATTAAATGTGTGTTAAAGTTTAGTTTCGTCTGACTCTCACCTTTGGTTTTCTGGTGCTCTCATCTTTCTTCACACTCTTCTTCATCTTCTTTTTATCTTTTGTTTTATCAGTCTTATTTTCTTTTTCATCTTCCAAAGAAGGTAGTGATGAATCTGAGTCTGGGTCACTGGTTTTCTTTTCCACTTTTGTATCTTCTGCAACACATCAGTAAATCATAATGTAAGTGGACTAGTACTTGTATAATGCTTTTCTATACTAATTGAGCAGTCAAAGAGCTTTCTTACTACAAAGCTCACTCACCCAATCATAAACAGTTGCTTTTTTCCTGCCCCTAAGTGCTTTTAATCTAACGTTTACACACTCACACTCCAATAGATACACTTGGAACCACCCCGGGTTCAGCATCTTGCACTGAACCCCACAACACTGTACAAGCTGGGGACTGAACCACCATTTTTCCAATTAATAGACGATCCCAACTCAGCCAACCCGCATATCAAGCAATTCAATATTGTGCCAACAAACGTAATAAATAATTATTTTTTTTTGCATGATCACCTTTTTCACTGTCAGAAGACTCGTCACTCGTTTCTGACTTGCAGTCTCCATCTGATTCGTTTTCTGCATCACTCAGTGGTGTTTTCCTTCCTTCATCTTTACTGCTGGTTCTTGTCTCGACGTTCTTTCTCACCATTTTCTTTGGACTGTCACTGCAGTTGCTTTCCTTCTCGTTTCTTTCAGACTCACTGAGTTCCTCATCAGAAGACTCGTCACTGTCAATTTGACGATTTTCATTTCTCTTTCGCTGTGATTTTTTCACCTCTTGCTCTTCACCATCAGCTTGAGATTTGGCATTTTCTTCATCAGTGCTGCTTTCTTCACTTTCTGTTTTGTTGTCCTCTTGAGCCTCAGATTCTGTCATTATTAACCCACAAAAGGACATAATTGTATAATTTACAAAGAAAATATATTTGAATTGCAATCTTGAAATGGTCAAATACACTTGCCTTTACTTCTAATGGTAAGTAAAAATACTGCATAAATCGCTTAAGGTTCTTAATTCATTTTGGCTTGCCCAGTTTTGGCCTCCTGCTGGGCTACAAGTTAGCTGACTTACAATATGACCAAAAAGGAAGTTGATGCTGAAGGCAGACAATTTCTAATGAGATAGGAGAGTCAGTAGCCTAGATCTTTACTGAACACAAGCAGAGGTCTGTGTACCCATTTATCAAAGGATGATTTCTGTTTCCATGGTACATCATTTGTGCCATCATTTTGAAATAAATTGTAAAACAGGCTATTACGAGCTGGCTGCAGGGTATCCTTTCTGCAGGTCTGAAATCAGAATGCACTCGCAAGGTTTGGGTGCTTTAGTTGGACCAAACTGCATGTTAAAAAGCTTCATTTGCTAAAGGATGTGCACAAACTGTATATGTCTATAGGCTTTCATTTCCCAGTGTTGTCCTTAGTTAAAATGAATTAGACACTGCTGGCCTACCTGATGATGAGCTTGAATGATTATTTCGTGATTTCTTTGCCCTGAATTCATCTTCACGCTCACTCATGACCTCATCATTTCCATTTTCTCTCTTCCTTTTGTTCTGGGGCTTCTTAGTCTCTGAGTCACTTTCACTTTTATCATTATCCTATGAGGAAAATCAACAATTATAAAGATGATAACTATGGAACTAAAATGTAAATGTAAAAGACTGATAGACGATTATTTTATGTACTATATATACATAAATTCTGATCTGCCACAAAATTAAAGCCACCTGCAAAACAGATAAATCCCTCTCATACTACCAACTATGAGACAGGACCTCTGTTACACAGGGCTATTCTGTCCGCTACATTGATGTGAACATGAAACGTGAGTCTGATTCTTCTGCCAAAGTGTGGGCAGGATCTTTTATATTTGCACACACATGATTTCATTTTGAATTTCACTGAATCTGTGTTCTTTGAACGTGGCACAGCTTGAAAATTAAGCAAATGCTTGATCATCTCTCCTTTATGATATCAGGATATGAGGAGTTTGAAGGTAGCCAAGTTTGAGGGATTATACTACTAGAGAAGAGCTCTGCAGTTGGAGAGAGCTGTTGCCATTGGGAGAA